AGGCTCTGCAGCGTCTCCTCCAGCCCCTCTCGCTCGCCCTGCAGCGCCTGCTTCTCGTTGGTGGCGTCTTCCGCCGCCAGGCGCAGGTCGCGGATCTCCTGCTCGTACAGCGCCCGGAAGCGCGACGGCTCCGAGTGCTTCTGCCGCAGCACCAGCAGCTCGGCTTCCAGGACCTTGTTCTGCTGCTCCAGCTCGTGCACGCGCTCGATGAAGCTGGCGAAGCGGTCGTTGAGGTCCTGCAGCTGCGCCTTCTCCTGCGTGCGGATCGACTTGAGGTCGTTGCTGATGGCGGCTACCTGGCTCAGGTCGAGGTTCTCGAGGCTGGGCATCAAGGAGCCGGAGCTGGACGAGTAGCTGCGGCGCACGGACAGCGAGGAGACGGGCGCCGAGTAGCTGGAGTACGCGGAGCGCGCGGTGCTGTAGCCGCTGCGCACGCTGGAGATGTGCACCCGGGGCGTCTCCACGTAGCGCCGCTTGTAGGAGGTCGAGTAGTACGGCTCGTAGCTGAAGGAACTCATCGCGGCGGCCGGCGCTCCTCTGCGGGCGGCAGAGACGGGGTCCTGCAGAGAAAGAAGAACGGGGGATAGCTCGTCCTCTCCCACTTTCCTCTGAAGCCTCAAGTTTTCTCTGAGGCCCCACACCCGCTCACTCATTTCCTTTTCCTCCCCCCAGCCCATCCCACTTCTCCTTTGATCTCGTATCGCCTAGATCCTGAGGTGTCCCAATAGCCAGTTCTCCCTTCCTGCTGTCCAGACCTGGGTACCTCGGACACATCCTCTCCCCCTGACTCGCCCCTTCCCCACCCGGGGCCTCCGCATCGCCCCCTTGGTGCATATGGTGACGAGGCGCAAGTGCCTCCAAAGCCCTGGACATGCAAATGGTCGCCTGAGGCTGCAGGTCTGCGGCAAGTATGGAGGAAAGTTTTCTCTCTTTGTAGCTGCTTCTCGCACTTGCTTTCATGTATCTCGCTCTCTCCTGGTTGTTTTTCTTTAACGCGCGGCTTACACCCATGAAACTGCGGCACTGCGGGTGTTGACCTGGGCATTTCTAAACCTTTAGTTAGTATCGGCCTTTCGGTGTTCCTAGATTTTCTCATTTCTTTCTGAGGAATGAAGCCACCATTGCGTGCCGCGGGGTGAAGCGTGTAGGTAGAGGAGAGCCTGTGGAAACGGTTTGGTTTGAAACTAACCGGCGTGAAAATTGACTGCAAAGGCAGCGATGCGCCCCTCGGCCCGTACTTCATACTGCAAACGCACCCTGCATCTTCCTCAAGCCAAATTCCTGCGTGACATTCCCAACCCCGCCACATGAAAAGGCCCTTCCCCTCTTTTTACACCTGTGTGGCACCCAACCTGATGATTTCAACCAGCCGTGCAGGTGGCTGGCTGGGAGGGAAGCGGCCGCTGCCAGCCCGGGGCCCCAGGGAGAACTCAGATCCGAGATGTCTCGTTCTTGGGCGGACAGAAAACAGCTGCATGAATCTTTACCCCGGTTCACTCAAATAAACAGGGAACAGATACAGTCAGGAATCCATGGGTCCCCTTTAAGAAACACCCAGGTACCTGAAACAGTGCGCCCTGCACCACGCTGCTGTCCTGCACTCTGCAGAGCGTATTTATTACCCGTTATGTTAGGGAGTCCATCGCTTTCATGAGCGGATCTCAGACACTGGCACAGGACACCTAACAGTTTTCTAAGCAAGCGTTTAATTTTTATTTTATTTGTGTAAGAGTGGCATTTGATGTGCAACTTACTGTTGTTGCTGCTGCTGCTGCTTTAAGAGGCAAACTAAGGGGAAACATTGTAACCGTTTTAAAATAAGAGAAGCCAGTTTTCCGGGTGATGCTGAGAAGGAGAGGTACTTGCAGCCAACACCACAGTTGCCTGGCGGCACTGCACTGCTTTCCCCACAGGACAGGAACGGTGGCTGAGACTTCACCTCTGCGGTTCTGTGCAACTCTCAAAAACCTGTGATTCCTCTTCCTGGCAGAGGGAAAGACTGCAGCAGAGAACATTGGGAAGGGGGGGGGGGTGTTCTCCGCTGTCTCAAATAATGCAACTTGCAAAACAACTTTACTAACTTAAATCTATCAAGAGATCCATCCAAACTCAGTCATTCTAGGGGTGTCAGGCTAATGCCATTAGGTTGTCCTGAATTTCAGTCGGCCCTGGCAGACAAGCTAGGGCACGTATCCTGATGGCTTTTTATAGCCTACTTGTTCTTGGTCTCCCCATTCATCAGTGATTCAACAGTGGGAAAGGCTTCTCTGGGGAGGATGAGGAAGGTGGGAGAGAACCTAGATAAGCCACATTTTTGTCTCTCCCCATTACATGAGGATAAAAGTGGCAGAATGGATTTTTTTAAAACCTGCTCCATGTGAACCACGTGGTTGCACGTTCAGTGTGTGTGAGTCTGCCTGCACCACACTCTTAGGTATTCATGAACTCATTTCCTTTGTGCCAGCTGTCTTGCTTCCGAGTTTCAGGTCACCCTCAGAGATCTTAAGTCCATCAGCGATTTTTTGGTTTTTGGTTTCTTCTTGGCCAGGACTCTGATTGAAGCCTCGGACTGCAGAGAAGGCTTCCCAGGAAGAGGGAGGGGCTGGTGGATGCTGCAGGGGCGGTGAGATCTGCAGAGAAAGAAATCTGTAGGGCACCTGCTGCTATCCGTTGGGGAGCACACGGGAGTGAGGAAGGGAGGGAATAAGGGCTCAGAGCCCTTGGCTTTTCAGAACCTGAACAGGAAGTGGAGAGGGGGCAGATGGCCTGTGCTTAGGAATGTAGATCCCTGGTTTGTTTTGGGTGTGTGTATTTTTAAATTTATTTTAGCCACTTCATTCTCCACTACTGCCTTGCTTTAAAAGGGCTCCAGAACCCCTCCAGTGTCTGCGTTTTGGTGACTCTACCTTCAGCCTTCCTGCCAGGTGCCTGCCACCTTTAAATATATTCTGTCCAGTCATCCTCCTTTTTAAATCCTCTTTGCAGAATTGTGCTCTGAATGCCCACATGGCATTCATTGTGTTTGTCAAAGCAAAGTTAAAAGGAGCAACTTTTTTAAAATCTTGATTTTTTCTTCCACCCAACCATAAATGTTTTTGCATTAGTGTTGTTTGCAGTGGTGTCACTATTTCTTTAGAAGGCGGTTGGGTGTTAGTGCACACTTGTGCATTTATTCTCCTCTAAACATATTCTTTTTTAAATGTGTTTTTATTGATTTCAGAGAGAGGAAGGGAGAGAGATAGAAACATCAGTGATGAGAGATAATCTAACTGCGACCTCCTGGTTCATGGGTCCACACTCAACCACTGAGGCACACCAGCCGGGCTGTAAGCATATTCTTTACCAACATGAAACTGGTTGAGGGCTGCCGAAAAAAAACATACTCCTAGAAGATAAAAATTATTTTGAAAAGAAATATGGAAGTATGTTAATGAAAAGTAACATTTCTCCCATACTGGTTATCCCTGTTATTTCTATAATCCCCTGATATCTCTATAATCCCCTAAGGGAGTGTTTGAGGTGGTTTAGTTTACAAGTAAATATGTTAACATTACCACAAAGCCCATACAATGTAACTCTTAGAAACACTGAAAAAATCTTAGTTTCTTCTCCAGGGCCAAGAGTCAGAAAGCTTCTGACGGAGGGACCTGGTGGCTTTTCATTATTCTAAAATGCTTTGGCACCCCGGGAAATTCTGAATTGGCCTTAGTTTTGAAAAGCTCAACTTCAAGGTGAAAGTCTTATGAGGCAGGCCTCACGAAAAGCATTAGTCCAAAGAACACTAGAGAAAAGTTCTGCCCTCAGTGAGCTGTGGGAACAGTCCTAGTCCAGAGCAGCAGATGGGTCTCCATTCAACCCACCATCAGGTGGACACATCGGCGTCAGCAAAGCCGGCTTCAGTGTGTGGGTGCCAGGAGGAAAGAAGGATATAAACACGTGCAGGACACCTACCCTACGATGGGCCTTTGATCTCTATCATTTAATAATTACAGAGTCCCCGTGATGGTTCTTATTCAGAGCAAACAGCTGAGGCCCAGAAAGGTTAAGTAATTTGCCAACTCACACAGCTACTTCAAACCTCAGGTCTGCCTGCCTCCTGGGTAGGGTCCCACTGATTACACAACTGCAGCCACTGGCATTTGCTGCTTCCATAAGTGTCTGTGGCATCGATAACTGCAGGGTCTGCTGTGTGAGCAGCAAACCTCGCGTGTTTGGGGAACCCTGATATGAACTGATTGCTACCACGAGGAAGTTGTTGGTGAGCGTGTTAGATTTGGACAGCGAGTGGCGGCAATAGCCTGCATATTTGTAGGTCTCTTAAATGACCCCAAGTAAAATAAAAAGGACCCTACCAGTGGAACCTGTCACATAGCTGGTGATGTCACTTTTTAAACATTACTCTAAACATCGGTTCGCAAAACACCTTTCCTGGAATTAGTGACCTAAAATGCAACTTAGCTGCTCTAAACTCTTTCAAATAACTACCCCATGACTTCCACCTTTTTTTTCCTAACTAAAATACCTTCATTTTCCACTCTTATAAATAGGTTTTCTTTGGAAAAGTGACCTTAAAATTATCATTAAAAAAGAAAAGAAAAAATGCTTGTACTCACCATCCCATTACTGGAGTTTATCATGCTTTCTACAAATCTTCAACTCTTTTAAAAAGAGACATGAGTAAAATCAGCAGAAAATGTATAGTGTGTGGAAGCCACAAATATATTTCCTCTCTGTTTCTTGTAACCGGTTTATTATTTCTTTGTATAGTGTCCTCGCCATAGGAATCATCATCACGCATGAATCTCTCATCCCTTGGTGATATGTTTGAAAGAAAACTTCCCCACTGTAATATAAATATGCCTGATTTTACAGCAGCACATTGTGAAAAAAATGCATCAGAAAGTGTGCTATGCGGCTACATAAAATTCAGATTGCAGCCGGCAGGAGAACGCCATCAGAATAGGTTAAAATGGAAAAGCACGGTTATATTCAGAACACGTGCAGTGTCAGAAATGACCGAAGCTTGCTGCTGTCCAAGCAGAAATGATGTTGGCAGGTTCAGACCCCTAAATGCCTGCTGCTCGGAACTCGCCAAGGTAATGTCTTTCTCCCCAGAGGCCTGCTCCACAGCGCCTTGCCCTTAATCACAGTCACGAGGCGCTGCGCAGAGGTAAGAGAGTAAGCTGGGGACATTGAAGGGCTCAGTTTGCAATCACTTCAGGCAGGTCACAGCCAGACCGGCCGGAACCAGCAGTGCTGATCCTGTTGGTTGAATTGTGCTCTCCTGAATTCAGGGAGATAGCTGCTTGCTGCTGCTGCAATGTAGGGACTAATTAGCCTCAAAAGCATTCCATGCGGCGCCTGGGTTTCTTTGCTGACCTTTACAGGGGTTTAATCAATTAGTCGGAGGAATGCGAGGTTGACTGTTTGCAAAGAGAGAGAAAAAGCATTTCTGTCTGCGAGAGACCAAGTCTCGCAGCCCTGCGGGAGCCGTCCAGGGCCGCAGTGCGCGGTCTCGCCCGCGCTCAAGGCTGCGCGCTCGCAGCAGAGGCGGCTGCAGATTTGCAAATGGGCGGATCCCTGGA